AGCCTCACCTTTCTCCTGTGGAGCAGTATGTGGGTTCAGACTGCTAATTACAAGGTCAAATTGGATTGCTTGGAGTTTCCCAAACAACATTACATGCCTTTGCTCAAATTATTTCTTTCTTACTACACGTCTTGGTGTGGCACTGTAGATTAATGTGCCAGACTGCAAAGCCATTTGAACTGCAAGGTTCAAAGTTCACTAGCTGCCCCTGGGAAACCCTATTATACAGGGTCACTATGGGAAGGAGCTCTGGTAGCATAGTGGTTACGAATCGGGCTGTGAACTGCAAGGTCAGCAGTTCGAAACTACCAGCTGCTCCACGGGAGAAAGATGAGGTGTTCTGCTTCCAGAAATATTTACAGCCTTGGAAACCCTGTTCAGGGTCGCTATGGGTCAGAACCAACTTCATGGCACTTAACAACAAATGGGTCGGAACCGACTTGACAGCACTTCACAGCAACAACACGTCTTTTACTTATATTGGTTCAAGTCCTAACATTTCAAGCACCTCCTCTGAAGCCTTTCCTTACTGTCCAATTGGATATAAACCATCCTCTTGCAGGCTGAACTGCTCTTACAGTTCTTAGACCACTTGCATACTGTTGTATAGTAGTCCCTGGTCTAGTTCCTACGATAGACAATAAACTCCTAGAGGGAAAGAATGGCACCTCACTTGTTCTTGAAATCTACTGAACCTAGTACAAAGCAGATGCATCATAAACATTTGTCTTGACTTCCCGGCATACTCCAAACTGTGGTAAGAAGTGAATTCACTTTCATATATATGACTTACTAGGCCAAGATTCAGCAGCTTAGAAACGATCTTGTCAAACACTGCTCTGTCATTTTCCTCATAGATCCTCGTAGCAATTTTTTGAACAATGTCTTCAGCAGTTAGAGGAGTTCCATCTAGTTGGTGAAGGCCATCTGGATCATCTAGACAGAGCAACCAGAATTCCAGTCATAGTGATCAGACACCTACACCATGGTTCAGATTCTATGTATAATCTGTACTGTATACATTCAGATATTTTTGGATGATGTGTATAATGGCATTTGGCTTGCATAAACTCTTGATTTGAAATAAAATTGGACTTTAAGAAACTAGGAAAATAATGGAAATTAAGGAATACTTTTATGTGATTTTGAAAGTAAAGCTGAAAACTACACAAAAGATCCCTTTTATTATCATTAATAATACAAATACACTTTTTTATTTTGATAGTATGCTGTGCTTACATAGGATGCCATGTAGTTCAAAGCACCCTTTTATAGGCATATGTATTTTGTTGTGCTTTTCTTGTTTGTTACAAATTGAAGGTTTGTAGCAACCCTACGTAGAGTAAGCCTATCAACAAGTCTGTACTTCCAAGGTGCTCACGTTGTGTTTCTGTGACACATTTTGGTAATTCTCATAGCATTTCAAACTTTTTTATAATGCTATTGCACACTTAATAGGCTACATTACAGTATAAATGTTACTTTTAAATGCACTGGGAAACCAAAAAATTCCTGTGATTTGCTTTGTTGTGAAATTCGCTTTTTTGCAGTAGCCTGGAACCAAAACCGCAATATCTCTGAAGTACACCAGTATAATTATATAATTTCATTTTGTGCAGGGATCCTACATGTATTATTCTCTTTTCAGGAACACTTCTGGGCTGGGGGTGAAAGTACCTGCTTCAAACTCAGAATCAGAGGGCATGTACTGAAGATTTCATGACTTTACCAGCAATAAATACTTCTAATTGAGCATATGTCAAAGCACATTTATATAAGGTAGTTTCATGTGACAATGCCTTCAGAGAATGGGGAACTTATTTTATGTGACTTGAATTCAAACTTTTTTAAATGTGGCAACAGATTTGTAGGAAATAATTTGTAAATTGATGTCAATTTTTGCAGATAAGCATGGAAATACTCCCTCTCCTGGGAATACATTTGACAGCACTATTTCAGACTAAAAGCAAGAGCTGATTGTGAGAGAAAGAAACAACACAGAAGAGCTCACGGTAATGGAGTACTGTACCATATCCACAGAGAATCACCAGGAATCAACTGGTCATTTCCAAACTATACTACCTCAAGTGGAGCCCTGGTGTGGTGCTGTAGGATAAGCACTGGATCACAAGGTAGGTGTGAACTGCAAGGTCAGTGGTCCAAGCCTACCAGCTGCTCCTTGGAAACCCTATACAGAGTTGCTATGAGTCAAAATTTAACAACACCAACCTCGAGCAGATCAAGGTACATGACTTTGTCACCTCTAAGTAGATTGGAAAAAGTCAGAATTTTATCCCCAGTGAAGCCTCTTGTTATCTATATGTCATTGGAAGGAGGATAATGAGAGCATCTATTTCATATATTTATTGTGAGGATCAGATGATATAAGATTAAAAACACATTGTAAATGGCACAGCACTGTGGCGCTATGGGCTGATGCGTCAGACTGCATAGTCATTTGAACTGCAAGGTCAGTGGTTCAAGCTCACCAGTTGCTCCTTGGAAACCCTATACAGGGTCACTATGGGTCAGAATCGACTTGACGGCACTTAACAACAACAACAATATAACAGTTCAAAAGCACTATCTTTCTTCTAGAGAAAATAGATATTGAATTCCTGGCCAGATTCTGCCCATAGAATCCTCATTCACTCAACAAAAGGACAGACCTTCTATTCCTATTTAGATTCTGTTCTTCCTTTCCATGGCATTTAGGGATTCACAGCAAGGAATTTCTCTCTTGGTATCTCAAAGATGCCAAGGCAGAATAACTTCCTCAGGTTGTTTAGAAAGAAACTTAGGGGGAAATAAGACAGATAATTAGACCCAGAGGACTGGAAGTTCTCAGACTCTATATAATAGCTAAGTTGTTGGCCGATCCTTAATGGGTAAGCCCATGAGCTTCTGTATCACAGTGACAAATGAGCAGAAAAGCCCCTAGGGAGGAAAAAAATCAGTTCCTCTCCTGTTTGGCTGAGAATTGGGTCCATCATCTAATTTTCAGGAGCAGACGCATTATCATTTAGATATGATTTTTCCATTTGTGGGTGGAAGTCTGGCTCTTGGGACTATATGGAACAGAAACTGCCCGGGTACATGCAGAGGGAAAGAATTTGTTTCCCTTCCCACTTATCCCTCAGGATCTGCAAACCAAAGAACATTGGTTGCCTGCTGGAACTGGAAAATAACTGAAATGCTTTTTTTCAGTTCATTTACTTCACAACAGGAAGAATGTTAGCAGCATGCGGGAAAAATGGCCTCTTTCCTCCACAGCACCGCTCTATTCTCTTGAGCCTGGAAACATAGGCACCACCCCTAACAGAGCTTTGCTAGATGGGGTTAATAGTGGGGCACTAGGGTATTTCTCTTTGTCTTCCACTGGTTTCCCCTGACTCTTCTAAAATTTATAAAATCACTCAAAATTCATTACTCATTACTACTGCTCTTTAAGGACTATTTACCTCCTATGTAGACATTCAGATTCTTGGCATGGTGCTGTAGGATCAGCACTGGACTTTGAAAAACAGGGTCAGCAGTTCAAACCCACCAGCAGTTCCTTGGTGACCCTATCCAGGGTTGCTATGAGTCAAAACAGACTCAATGACACTTAACAACAACATAGAGATGCTCACAGAGAAGCCAAACATTTTTAACTTTTGCCAAGAACGCAGGATGGTCTAAGTGGATGTCAAAGGGTTCTATCTTAAATTATCATCTCCCCAATTATGTTTTGAATCCCCAGCACCTAATATGACTCTTGACACTGATTTGTTCAATAAATTTTTATTTAAGTATTAACATATTGCCAGACATGGAAAATAGAGTGGTGAGAGACTACGTTCAGAGTGGTTTCTGACTTCATAGAGCTTACTGTCTAGTTCTTAATCTGGTGTATAATAATTGCTCAATAAATATGTATATTTGTTGGGTAAAATGCACATAGGAGCACCAATGTACTACTTCATAAAAGAAACTTGGGGAAATCCTGAATCACAGATACTATAGTGAATGCTGAAAAAGGTTTGATGAGTCCTACAGCTCAAGCCTGTTTGAAGGCTTCCTAAAGGAGTGATTACGTCTGGGAAAACACCCTGCCTCATCATCCCTTCTAGGATGTAAGTCTATATGCCTCTGGCATTCTATTCACCTTGGTGGTCTCAGTCTCTGATTCCAGGCAGGGGCAGATTAACCAGTAAGCAAGGTACAAAGGGACTTAATTGCATTTATTTACTAATCTGTACTGAACAATTTCATCTGGGACTCGCCACATCCCAGGTGAAATTGTTCAGTACAGATTAAGTAAGTAAACACAATTAGGCTCATGCATACCTTGCTTACTAGGAAATTAGTCCCTGATTCCTGGACTTCCAAGATGTGAGGGGAAACCAGAAGCTCACCCATAAACAATTCTCTCAAGAACCTTGGCCCAACTCTCTGTGATCACATGTGGCGTTATCTGACTCCTATGGTAAATCAGACATCTTTGCTCTTGAACACTTTTTTAAAGAGGTCCTGTGCAGATTTGCCTATTGCAACATGTTGTTTGATTTCTTAACTGCTGCTTCCATGAGTGTTGATTGTTGATCTGAGCCAAATGAAGACTTGGACAAATTCAATCTGTTCTCTATTTATCTTGATGTTATTTATTGGTCCAGCGGTGAGGATTTTTGTTTTCTTTATATTGAGGTGCAACTCACACTGAAGTCTGTGGTCTTTGATATTCATCAGCAAGTATTTTAAATCCTCTTCACTTTCCACAAACAAGGTTGTATCATCTGCATATTGCAGGTTGTTAATGAGTATTCCTCCAATTCTGATGCCACATTCTTCTTCTTATAATCCAGCTTCTCAGGTTATTTGCTCATTTTGCAGACTGAATAAGTATGGTGAAAGAATACAACCCTGGTGCACACCTTTTCTAATTTTAAACTATGTTTAAAATTGTTCTGTTGAATATCTTTCTGGTATTCTTTGCTTTCAGCCAAGATCCATCTGACATCAGCAATGATATCTCTCATTCCACATTCTTGTCTGAATGAGGCATGAACCTCTGGCAGGTCCCTGTCAGTACACTGTTGCAACCATTTAAAATTTATTTTTAGCAAAATTTTATTTTCATGCAATATTAATGAATATTGTCTGATGATTTCTCCATTCTGTTGGGTCACCTCTCTTTGGAATGGGCACAAATATGGACCTCTAAGACTAAGGTGTACCTAACCCAAGCCTTGGTATTTTCAATAACCTCATATGTATGTGAAAGTTGGACAATAAATAAAGTAGACCATAGAAAAATTGGTGTATTTGAGTTATGGTGTTAGAGAATATTAAAAGTACTAGGGACTGCCAAAGTAACAAACAATTCAGTGTTGGAAGACGTATAGCCAGCATGCTCCTTAGCAGTCAGGATGGCCAGACTTCGTCTCTTGTACTTCAGACATATTATCAGGAGGGACCAATCCCTGGAGAAGGACATCATGCTTGGTAAAGTGGAGGGTCAGTAAAAAAGAGGAAGACCCCCAATGAGATGGATTGGCACAGTGGCAGCAGCGATGGGCCCAAGGATAGCAACAATCCTGAGGTTGGAACAGGACCGGGCAGTGTTTTGCTCTGTTGTCTATAAGGTTGCTATTGAGTACTGACTTGATGGCACCTATCAACAATAACAAAGGTCAATCTAAAATCGTGACTACTTGGTAGTCATGTGGAGTTTGAGAAACTCCTTGGTAGTTCCGAAACCACTTGTGATGGTTATCATCTGTTGAGCACATTAATTGCTCAAACTATTGACCAAATCACAATGGGTGTATACCTCTGACTGTATACCATCAGTTTGACCAATCAATTCAATCAAACATTAGACTAATTTTTTTTCTCACTAAATCAAATGGTCAGTTCAGTCAAAGCAGTTAAGTGTATTTTTGTATAAAGACATACCCAGTTATTACTGATTTCTAGTCCAAGTATTTAAGTAGAAAAGTAGAATTCAAGATTAAAAACCAAACATATTTCCACGAGCAGCATACAATATGAAATGTGTCAAAGTATAAACCATTATTCACACCTCGTTCCACTCATGTATAACCCACGTCTGAACTTTCCTCAGGCTATGATGTGCTATGAAAATCCAATTTAATTAGCGCTTGCTTTCTCGAGGAGGTAATCAGCATAATTATTTTTTGGCCAGGGAACAAAATAAGGACATATAAAAAAACTTACAGTCAGGTGAAGCTCTGTTCTACAAAATGGAAAACTACCTACCTCAATATCGAGATATATCAGTTTAATTATTCCCTCATGTATTCCTTTTTTTTTTTTTTTTTCAATATGTATAATTTGCATATCGCAGGTTGTACAATAGTGAAATTAAATTTTCACTAAATTACATCTTTTTATAAATAAAGCATTTTATTGTGATTTGGGGGAACATTTTTAAAAATGTTTTATTGTGAATTATGGGATAGTTTACATGGGAGAACATTAGTTTTACATTCATATTATTTCACTGCCATGGTTACAATCCCTTCCCTCATGTATTCTTTCATTTGTCATTCATTCACTCAATGTCCTTATTCTCATTAAACTTTCAGTTCAGTTTTAAAGACATTCAGTTTAATCTGGAGGAAAATAGTCATACTTAAGAATGTAAAATTTCACACTGTAATAAGTACTACCAGGATATGGTACAATATTTCTATCATATCATGTAAGCCAGATGAACCTTGAAATGTAGACAGGAGCCAGTCCATGCAGAGTGGTGGATGCCATGCTAAGGGATTTTGGTGTTTGTCCTGAGAGAGGTGTGAATCTACTAAAGAGTTTTATGCAAAAGAATGACATTCATATTTAAGTATTGAAAAGATCACTCTGGCTGCTACATGAAGAATGAATTGGAGAGGGGCAGAGCAGATGCTGGGAGGCCTGTTAGAAGATTTTTGCTGCCGCTCAAGTCAGACATGATTGTAATTTGGATTTGGATGATGGTGATTTGGGGTAGAGATATAGAGGAAGTAAGATTGAGAAGATTTGGTGGGTTGAATTGAGAGGTGAGGGAAAGAGAAGAACTTGTTTGAGGGAAAGAGAAGAGCTAGTTTGCCTTGTAGATTTCTGTCTTTAAAACTGGATGGTCAGTAGTGCTTTTCTGAGGAAAAGAAGCACTGTACGAGGAGCAGGTTGTGAGTAGACACAGATAATGAATTGAATCTTTGACATGATAGGTTTGAAGTATTTCTAAGACATTGAAGAGAAAATATTAAGTAGTTAATAGGCCAAGGTGTAGCTCAGAGAAGTCTAGGCTAGTGATGGAGAACATCAAGTGGTAGTTGAGGTTGTGGACAAGGTTAGGATGGCCTAGGGAAAACGTATATAGCTAGCAGAACATGGAAAAGGGAATCATGGCTATTGAGCCTTTGGAGAGCATTTATTAATTAAATTACTTGGTAATTATGATATTTTGTTTGCATTGATGATTGCAATACATTGGAATCTTAAAATGAATCCAAATACATAGAAAGTGGATTTTTTAAGGTTTTCTAAAACACTATGAAAAAAAACTTTAAAAAATAAAATAAAATAAAATTTGGACCTCTGTCAGTTTAGACCTAATCTCCATTTTCAATCTGACTAATACAGAGTAATGTATGTATTAAAGATATTTATACAATTTAGGACTTTCTCCTAATAAAAAATCCCATTGACATCAAGTTGATCCTGACTCACAGTGACCCTAATAAAAGGTTTCCAAGGCTGTTCAGCCTCATCTTTCTCCCATGGAGCAACTGGTGGGTTTAAACCATTGACCTCAGAGTTAGCAGCCCAGTGTCTAATCCACTCCAAATTAGAGAAAATAGATAGCAAAAAGTGATTTCTTTCCGCATTTACCTTGAAATTTATGTTCCAGTCCACTCTTAGTAGAATCATAATCATCAATTAGTCTTCGATTTTTGGTTGAATCAACATCTTCCACATTCAATTTATTATCATAGCTTCTTAAGGATTGTTTTTCTTTCTCAATTTTTTGTTTTTCTGTTATTGCCTTTAGCAGGTTCAAGTTATCAGCAAAGGAATAATTGCTTTTTCCTGAGTTGTTTTCTAGATGAAAAGCCCCAAACCCAACACGTGATTTTAGTTAAGATGCTTGAGGTCTACATAATTTAAGTTAACAGAAATATAAATTAATTTTACCTGGAGGGTATATAGTTTTAACCTTATCAGCTTCTGCTTCAGCAATCTGTGAAACACACAGGGAATAAACTGGATTTTAAATCATTGTGCCAATATTTATCAGCTATCACAGTCAAATTATTTCATTTCCATGGATCTTAGTTTTCTTTTTTGTATGATGTAGATAAGAAATTCTTTCTCAAATCATGTTGTAAAGACTAAATGAGATAAGTTAAAGTGCAGATGTTCTATAAATATTAATTCTCTTCTTCCTATAATTTCAGACAAATGAAATCTCTGGTAAATTAAACAATCTTGAAATAGAGTAGATGTAATGTCCAGTTAACTGGGTTATTATAGGACCAACTGTACATATTATACTCTATGTGTTATCTCAGAGCATAAAAATGACCAAGATTGTATTTTATCAGCCTAATTTCTGTAAATTTAATATTAAACTTTTAACACTTGTTAGATTAAAATGACTAAAATATCACAGCATAATTACTTTAAATAGTAATAACTAGAGAAAAATGAAATAGTATTTATAATTTGACTTTTGACCTACCTGTTCATTCAAAGGTCTTTCTGCACTCAATTCTCTATTGTGGAGTATAGATTTGTCTAGAGTAAAAGACACATAAATATAAATTTAATAGTGTTTTGGGAAGACACAATGTCTCCAATTAAATAATATTTTTAATAAAGAGAAAGAAATATTAGGAGAAATGTTTTTGGATGACTATGAAACAAAAATATCAACAAAGATTATCACGATTATACAATAACAATGATTATCAGTGCCACCTGCTTTATTATTCTAGTGTATTTTCTGAGTTAACAGAATCACAATTTTTTTTTCCTAACTAAAAATCTTACAAACTTGACTTGCTAGCTGTTGTCAACTAGCCAAATGATAATTTGGATTGGCATCATAGGTAAATTAAGAGCTCTTTGATCATCCACTGCACATATGAATAGAATATGCAAGAAAGGTTGTAAAACAACTAGAAAAAGAAACAACCCACGGCGCTTTATTAGGCAGAAAAGTTATATCCTTTCTTTTCAAAATAAGATATTCCAATACAATCCATGGTTTTACTCCACCATTTCATCAGCGAGAGGGAAATATCTACCTAGGTCTCTAAATTCAAATAGATTTCTCTGTCAATAGACATGGATATGATTTGATTAGAAAATGAGCCAAGGTGATTTACAACTCATGGATTATGTCAAACTTTACCTTCTAGTGGCGAAAGAGGAGGAGAGAAGAAAATTGTCCACGTACCTTGGCTGCCTCCCGGTTTGGGGAAAGCTTGAATTGGGCCGTTGTAAAGTACCAACACCAGAATCCAGGTGCCGGTCCAAAGTAGCCCCATTCTTCCACGGTGGGCGCCGGCTCCTGGAGCTGAAGCTTTTGTTATGAATGAAAAGGAGTGAAAACAGGAAGAGCCAGGTGGGTGGGCGCGATCAGGAAGAGTGGCCGCGAGTTCTGTCTGCGTGGCAGGGGAGTAATAGGATTAGAAAGACTAGAAAGACTCGGGATGCTGGGGAGTCAGGTCTCCAGGTGGAAGAGAGCGCTGTCCGCCCTCTGGGTGCTGAAGTTCCTGTGACGCGAAGCCGACCACTGCTCCGCTAGGGCGTAGCCTTACTCTCACCTCCCTCCTGGAGAGGAAGTGAGGGAGGAAGCGCATGCTCCTTGCAAGGCAGGGGCGGGCAGGGATGGCGTCAGCGACTCCAATGCTACTCCAATCCCCCGGGAATGGGAAGGGGGAGGGGCGAGGGGCCAGCTAGCGTATTTTCTGTGCCGCAGTCTTCGGGATGTCCCTGCTCTCAGGGTCAGCTGGATTGCTGTAAACTAGGACATCATTGTCGTAAGCTCCCAAGTAAAACTTACCTTAACAGAGAAGGACCAAATGCTTTTTCTACCGATACACTTGCCCTGGAGAGCACATCACTAGATAACCTTGTGCAAAGGGTTCTGTTTTGGGTTTATTCTTCTGGGATATCTGCTACAGACCCCGTCTTTCCATTCCGCCACTTGTACCTCCAAGGTTTACATCCATAGAAAAGCACTGCCTTTTGTGAGTTGGGTTGACATACCCCGAGTACCTTGCCGTTCTTATTTTTGTCTCCACTCTATGGGGTCTTTTAAAGTGAGATAGTCAAAGAACATTCTTTCAAATAATCCCATAGCTGCAACACACTCTCGTTCTTCCAGATGCTGAAACAGGCAACAAATAATTGTGTGTTCCTTAAGAGTTATTGTCCTCGTCAGTACTGGGGAGATGAGCAACAAGGACCAGGTTCATTTATAAAATTTACTCTTACTTCACCCATCCCCCGCCTCCCTCGTCTCTCCCCATCCCCGCCCCCTCAAAAAAAAAAAACCGCTTGACTCCTGTCAGATTCTTACCCAGGATTCAATTCTGCCTAAGAACCTGCCTATTGCAGGGGTCCTTCAAGAGAGAAAATAGTAATGAGAAGAATTTTTCATTATAGCTAGGGATTTGCTTCAAGTAGTCTAAGAATATTCCCAGAAGCTGAAGACAATGAGCTATCAAAAGACTTTGAAATGATGGATATAATGAATATAAGCAACAATAATATAAGCAGAGTGTTGAGTAAGCTCTTTAGTCCCTATTTGTTTGTTCTTTGTTTGAACAAAGCTTGGACCCTTTCCTTTAGCCTGTGGCATGCTGGGAACCAGTCTGAATTAGGATTCAACACAATCAGGCCTTTTATTCCACACCTCAGTTTTCCAAGCCTCTAGTTAGTCATTAAATACTTAACAACAAACATGCCAACCAACAAATCTCATTTGTTCTGGAGGTTTTGAGTTGGGGACTTACTCAAAAGTACCTTTCAGAATTTAGAGTACTTTACAATCAAAAAACTGCTTCAAAACAAGTAGCTATTTCTTAACAGTAATAAAAAAGCATTATTAGCCCAGCCTCTTACATTAAAAAAAATTAAGTCACACTTAAAAACCTTAGTGAAGTTCCCTTCGGTCAACTAGCAGCTGAGCCTTCAACAGCAACAGGGAGGTAAAACAGAGGAGGCCTCCCACTGTTTCCAACACCAGTATACAATGGCCACTGCCCCTTCCAGAAACAGGTGCTTCTCTTTTGAAAAGCCAATTGTTTATGTACTCTGTCTCCAGCCCACCTGAGCAGAGACCTGAGCAGAAAGATTTTATCCTGATGGTGGACTCAAAACCACTCTCCTCCCTTGATGGGGTCCCTGTAACCATGGAGGCTCTGCTCTGGGACATGCTTGGGATCATTGTGGATGAGGCCATTTGGAAAGCGACCAGTGCCTCTGAGAAAGTCTGTGGGTGGAAAGAACCACAGGAGTTAAAACAGCTGCTGGATTTGGAGCTTCGTATCTAGGAGGAGTCGTAGGAGCAGATCCTGGAGTGGTGCGGGACTGTGTGATTCACTACAGCTTGAAGACCTGTCACTCTCAGTTCTTCAGTCAGCTCTATTCAGAGTTGGATCCCCACTCTCTAGCTGGACAGATTATCACCGAGAGCCTCAACACCAGCCAGTACGCTGTGAAATTGTCTTCACTGTTTATACTCATGGAACAGGAGGTGTTGAAGAAGCTCCAGGCTTGGTGAGCTGGAGCTCTGGGGAGGGGGGTCTTCTGCCCTGGTGGGGCCATCTCCAACATGTATGCTGCCCCTGGCCCTTTTCACATCCAAGGAGTACCACTGCCCCATTAAGAAGGGAGCTGATTTTCTGGGACTTGGCACTCACAGAGACTAAGTGGTCAAGGCAGATGAGACAAGGACCATGATCCCTGAGGATCTGAAGAGGCAGATCAGCCTGGCTGAGGCTAACGGTACTGTATCATTGCTGGTCATTGCCACTTCTGGCACCACTGCACTGTGTGTATTTGATCCCCTGGAGGTAATCGCTGATGTATGCCAACGTCATGGGCTGTGGCTGCTCATGGGTGCTGCCTGGGGTGGGAGTGTCCTGCTGTTGCAGACTCACAAGCATCTCCAGGATGGGACCCAGAAGGCTGACTTCTGGCCTGGAATCCCCATAAACTCCTCAGGGCAGGCCTCAGCTTTTCTTCTGCAAGTTACTTCAAACCTACTCAAGCACTACCATAGGTCCCAGGCCAGCTACTGTTCCAGCAGGACAAATTCTACGATGTGGCTCTAGACACAGGAGACAAGGTGGTGCAGTGTGGCCGCCATGTGAGTTATCTGAAGCTATGGCTCACGTGGAAGGCACAGGGTAGGCAGAGGCTGGAGCAGCATGTCCTCCACCAGGTACCAAGCGAGGACTTTTGCCCTCGCTTGGTACCTGGTGGAGGAAATAAAGAGAGGGAGATTTGAGTTGGTCATGCAGCCTGAGTTAGTCAATGTGTGTTTCAGGTTTATGCCCCTCTGTCTGCGGGGGAAACAAAGAGTTTGGATTGTAGTGAAAAACTGGCTAAGGTGGCCCCTATGGCGAAGGTGGCCCACCATAAGGTGGCCCCTATGCTCAAAGAATGCAAGGTGAAGGTACACTCCATGATGTTTGGCTACCAGCCCGGTGGGGCCCAGGGTAACTTCTTCCTCATGGATGTGGCCAGACCCATGCTGCTTCTTCTTGTTAAATGCTGTCCTGTTGACTCTGACTCATAACAACCCTGTATAGGGTTTTCAAGGCAGCTGTAAATCTTCACAGGAACAGAAAGCGTCATCTTTCTCCTGTGGAACAGCTGTAAGTTTTGAACTGTTGACTTTGATGTTAGCAACCCAACTCATAACCACTATGCTACCAGAGCTCCTTACATTATGATTACCCAGGCTGATATAGACTTCCTCTTGAATGAGCTGGAACAAATAGGACCAGAACTTATAAGTCTCCCATTTCCGGCTGCTGGCCTTGACACTACCCCTCACCCTCACCGAGTCTCTCTCTCTCTGCATTCCTATCCTGTGCTCTCAAGAATAATCTTTCCTTCTGGAAAACAAAGTAGCCATAGCAATTTTTATAGACCTCGTTCCACTAAATCCTCGACAAAATAGTTGATGTTATTGTTTGTTGCTGTCGGATCTATTGTGACTCATGGTGACCCCATGTATGCAGAGTAAAACTGTGTCATGGAATTTTCAAGGTAATGGAATGTCACAAAACAAGCCCCAAATCTATCCTGCCCTTAAGATTAATGTTTAAACCAGAATTTTTATTGATATGAGAAAAAATGTCCTTAATGTGATAATATATTGAAAAAGCTGAATATAAGATTTTATATACAGTAATATCCAAATAATCTGGATATTACTGTATATAAAATCTTATATTCAGCTGTTTCAGATTGAAGTTGTCAAGGACTTCATTTTTCTTGGATCAACTATCAACACTCACAGAAGCAGCAGTCAAGAGATCAAATGACGTATTGCATTAGGCTAAATCTGCTGCACAAGAACTTTTTAAGGTGTTGAAGAGCAAAGAAGTCAGCTTGAGGACTAAGGTGTGCCTGACGCAAACCAT